TATTGTCCATAGAGTGACAGTGAGACCAGTTGACGGTCTGAGACACCGGTTTGCCGTCTCTGTTGCAGCAAATCTTCTCATTGTTTCCATGACTGCAATACACGATTGAGTCGACGGCCGTTGAGTCCGAAAGTATGGAGTCATAGGAAACGGCGTTCGGCTCCTCCTTTCGCAATGAATTGATTCTGTAATTCAAGATTCAATACAAACTTTGCTTTAGTTATATAGTCTCTCAACACTTGAAACACCAGACACAAATAAATGCTGGAATTCATATGTTGCGAGCACCTAGGTCATACACGTATGAGTGAACTTACAATTGAGTTTTCTCATTGACAGATGCGATAGAAGTCATTCCTATAGTTTTCGTTCACTATTATCAGTGTATTTCACTTGAATACTGAAAACTTTTCACTACTCGTCACAGCCTTAAGGAAATCTTGACGAAAACAAATGAGTCTATTATTTAGAATTTAAGCGAATTTTATCGATAAATCCTCACAAATATATACTCTATTGACTAACGCAATGCACACGACCCACAACTGATGGCAAACTTAATGGCAATATATTCAATATTAAGTCAATTACATTGCACTCAGTCCTCAACTTTTTAATTGTGATAAATAATCCACAAAATGGTCTTAAGATGGTTCACGAAATGCACTGCAATTCTTATCAATATATTAAATAGTTTTAAAATTTAAATATAACGAGTTTTTCAAAAATTTAAACACAAGAATATTACACTTCTAATAATGTAAACCTTATGAAGTATTTTCTAAGACTTAACCGACCATGATACTGTACAGTATATTTCCCTTTCGATATTCACTAGCATTTTGTTATCAATTTGCGGATAAAAATGTTTATTTAAAAATGTATAACTGCCTTTACACGGTATTACATGAATAGCATTTATTCAAAAATCTATGTTTTGAGATACTGTAGTTGTTATATAATTTTGTTTAAAATGTGTTATTACATTTGTAATATTTAAAAATATGTATAAGTGTCTAGTACAATATAACTACATTTTTAAAGATAGTTATTCACAAAATGAGTGTTTGTTCTGATTATTTGCAGTCAAACTTTGTGTCTGGAAAACACCTGTCAATACAAATGACTTGTAATTCAAATGATTTATTCTGTCTTATATTATATCTGCGAATAAGTATTATATTACTAATAATACCCCAATTTGAAGGTATCAGTGATTAGCCAATTGATTGTTTGCATATAATTACTCAAAATAATTGTTATATCAAATGGTAAAGTTTATAAACAACTTATTTGTGAGTTGAAAAATATAAACGTATAGCAGGTCTGTACGTCAATAGGAGTTTCATATCTGATCGTAAATCAGTTTAAATGGAGTTGACGAAAAAACTTATTTATTACATAATATTTACTTTTTTATTTGTTTGCATTAAACTTAAATAATAACCTATAATAAGAAAATTTTCAAATTAAATTTATTGAGATGTTTTGTGTCAAATACTGAAGTTTTTAAAAATATGTATAAGTGTCTAGTACAATATAACTACATTTTTAAAGATAGTTATTCACAAAATGAGTGTTTGTTCTGATTATTTGCAGTCAAACTTTGTGTCTGGAAAACACCTGTCAATACAATTGACTTGTAATTCAAATGAGTTTATTCTGTCTTATATTATATCTGCGAATAAGTATTATATTACTAATAATACCCCAATTTCAAGGTATCAGTGATTAGCCAATTGATTGTTTGCATATAATTACTCAAAATAATTGTTATATCAAATGTTATAAACAACTTATTTGTGAGTTGAAAAATATAAACGTATAGCAGGTCTGTACGTCAATAGGAGTTTCATATCTGATCGTAAATCAGTTTAAATGGAGTTCACGAAAAAACTTATTTATTACATAATATTTACTTTTTTATTTGTTTGCATTAAACTTAAATAATAACCTATAATAAGAAAATTTTCAAATTAAATTTATTGAGATGTTTTGTGTCAAATACTGAAGTACAGTAACTGAAATAAACTGCCAGTCCGTCCCACACACACACCGATCCCTTCATGACCCACACGTGAATTATTCCCTCATTTATCTCTTGTTATCAATTAAATAAGGAATTGATTAGAAATTTGCTGTAATATTATACATGTGTATGTGGATAGATGTACAAAGTCTTGTCATGCATTTAATTATGTTAATATTTGGACAGGTATTCACGTCAGACATAGACATAGGTACATATTATTTAAGATTGTGAGTAATCAGATATTTTTATTCAATACCTTTCACTGAATATTTTTATTTAAAAATTATGTCCTATAATATTCAGTATGTATTCCTTATACGATAAGTTGGAATTAAGTTCTCAAACACTTTGCCNTTGTGAGTAATCAGATATTTTTATTCAATACCTTTCACTGAATATTTTTATTTAAAAATTATGTCCTATAATATTCAGTATGTATTCCTTATACGATAAGTTGGAATTAAGTTCTCAAACACTTTGCCGGGTTATAAATGTGCAAATATATTGACCCTACACTTCATTTCGTATAATTTGTTTGCTTTTCAGTGAATATAATCATTTGTGTAATGAATGCTCAGACACACAGACATATTCTGGGGAATACAGTGCACCGACACCTTCATAGCACCGACTGATTGGTCACTCAATTACTATTCAATACAAACTTAAAATGCTTTGAAAAACAATAGTCTGATTTGAAACATGAAATGTTTTATGCAAAAGATGTTGTTTTTCTTGTCATTCAATCATTTGTGAAGATTTCGGTCAAAATGCTAAACAATTAACGAATTAATTGTGAAAATAGTGAACAGAATGTACAGCACTGGTAGTGTTGAGCTACCGGTTCCGCTATTTTTAAATCCTGTGCTAATACTCGTCTTAATGAAGTCAATGGTCTTTTGGGCACATTTTTGACAAGTTTTCAACAAAAACACATTTAAAGGCTTTTTAGTTGATTGCACTCTAAATAATACAAATCACATACTGTTTCATATCTCATATAAAAGAAAGGCTTAACACTAAAGACAAATCTTAAGGGAAAGGGACCACAAAACCAGTTAAAAAGGGGGGCTTAAAGTGGGTGTGAATTGTAACAGAAAAATTGTGTTCATATAATGTTATATAACATACAACTACTCCTAACATGAGATAAATATTAATGAGAATTAGCGTTGAGTTCGTGTGTGTAATGCATTCATACAAACGTCTAGTATAGCCATCAATGCATTCAATGCAATGCTTTTTCACTCCAATAACAGTCTCGCAGTCTCTCTCAGCAATGCATTCATTCATACATTGAATACAGACTTCAATACAAATAGCATTGAAAATAGTGTAACAAAATCGTCGCTTATATGCCAAAAGATGGTCGCATTTGAATGAACTATCAAATCGTCAAAACAAACCACTATTACTGCTATATTTGCTTATTATATGCCAATTCAATATTGACTCAACCATTCAATATTCATACTAATTATATATCGATATATACACCCATTTATATATAGCCTGTGATTACATCAACTCATTAGACGTTTTCGTGTAATCAAAATATTTATACTTTTTTTGTGACATTTTTGTAATCAAATTCATTCATAAAAATAATTTCTATTACTTTGTGTTTATCTTGATACAAGTGTCAGTATTATATGCATAATTGCAATAATCAGTGAATCGCTAATTGCAAGTCTATACTCAATAATAAATAGTTGTTATAATATACTAATAAAAGCAATAATATTGCATCAAATGATCCAATAATGCACTTCTCTATAGCAGACACTCAACTCATTAAAGACCAAAACCACTCATTTGTCGTAAGATTTGATTGCATTTAACTCTCATCTGTCATACGATATGCTAATGATTGTGTCCATTATGTCCACCGCTCACAGACGTACAACATATCAATCAATGGCTCGTTTCACTGTTCCCTAAGATATAAGCAGTTATACAACTTTCACGAACAGGTCTGTCCACTGGATCCACACTTTGTGTCCATTGTATTCATATATATGTTGTCTGTGATCGACAGCTGAAGAGGACATTCGGAGCAAATACACTGCCATTGTTTCCGCCGAAGAGATTACTTCCGTTGACTCCCACCCAGACTGAAGAGCGGAGATCTCAGATCGAGAAATACATACAAATCAGTAATAAAATTGTTTTAATTAAATTATATTCCCATTAATTAGTGGATCTATTGTTTGAGACAATTTGCATATAATGTATATAAGTTACGAGTTGTCCTCAAAATGATATCTTAATTAAAATCCAGTTTTCCTCAACTCCTTGAGAGACGACGCCTTTTAGAGGTTTAACTCAATTCGTACTTTACTTTAGCCAAAGATTTGTTAATTAAATAAAATTTATTTATAAACTCTTTATTATAGTTTATGTCCGGAAATGTCGGTTCTCTATAGTGAACGCAATTGTGATTACAATAAATGTCTTACTTTTACAGTCAGTCAGGACCAGAGGATAGTGTCCAGCGATCTGTTCAATGGATTCTTCCTCAGCGGACAACAGGAGACGCAGAACTCTAAGATGGAAGAAGTGATTGTCGATGTGTTTCAACTCAATTGGCAGTCAATCAAAGTGCAGATCTACTCGACCGACAGGACAGACATTGTGTTGGATTCTGTGGCCAAAGCGCTAGAGTTGACGCCACCATTGATTCCGTACTTCAGTCTATTTGTGGTGAAACGTGTGGACAATGTCTGCGTTCCCATCAGAAAACTCCAGAACTTCGAGTCGCCTTATCTCACATTAAAGACAATGAATTCAGTGGACAGCAGTCACGCGATAGTCATCCGGAAGTCCTATTGGGACTCCATTTATGACGACGAAGTATTCGGTGACAGAACTGCTGTCAATATATTATATTTTCAAACATTACATGACATCGAAAAGGATTTAATTGAAGCCAATAAAGAGACCCGAAGACAGTTGACGTCACTTCAGGCCAAAGGATCCAAACAAGAAGTGAATAGATTTGTGAATTCATTAATTGTTTTGCCAGTTATCTAATGGTATCTCTTATTGTCTCCCTTTCCATAGTATCTCCAATTATCGCGAACTTTGAAATATTACGGATACATTCAATTCGAGCCATGTTTTTGTGATTATCCCCAACAAAACACCAGGGTTTTAATAGCCACCGGTGGTAAAGAGCTTAACATAAGGGCCTATACGGCAGCGGTACGCCGAAAATATTTGAGCAAAAAGTTTTTGTGTTTTAATTATGATTTTTATTCTGTATTTTTAGGAACATATGAAAGAATATAGTTTTCGTGTCACACGAGTCCGCTGCTGGAGGTTAACCACTTCATTACACGACAAACTCAATGGTTGTGCCATTAATGCCAACACCAGTAGTAGCAGCAGTAGTAGTAGTCTCAGTAGTTGCCAATCTACCGGTGCGGCTAATACTAGATTCGAGCTCTCATTCGAGTATCTTCTTAGTAAAGATCACTTGCAATGGATTACAATAATCAGTGATCAGGTATTGAGGGTTAAAATGAAACTATGAAATACAGTAATTGTTTAATACAATGGTTGGCATCTCTTTAGGCAATTTTGATGAGCGTTTGTCTGCAGGGAATGGTAGAGGAGTTGCTTATGAAAAGAAATGGCAAAAAGATTAAACGCGAAGAACCATCCCTCCAGTACACCACTAATGGAACGGCTGGTGGCAGTCGAAGGGGTTCCTGGAGTTACATGAAGAGAGACGGTAGTAGTCATCAGATATCACTTCCAAGAAGTGTGTCCACAGATGCAGGTCTGGCCTACTCTGCAGAGATTCATAACAAAGTGAGTATTTTTAGTTGTTTTCAACGAATTAGTCTTAAAAATATTGATTTAAATAATGCATTAAAAGCCGTTGAAGTCATCCCATTCCTCGCACAACGGATTTCCTACAAAATCGCGACATTTCGTAGAAAACGACGCCTTCAATGGTATCGGAGATATCGGTGACGACGACTTATAGGGACCACCAGTTGTTTTGATATAGTTTTTAGTGTCTGAAAATTTTTTATACCAACCAAACGAAGCAAATGAAAGTATTTTTAGGACTAAAGCTTATTACCATATAATAAGTAGTTATCGTATCTTAAAGTGCGGCCAAACAATAATTTTATGCTTTTATTACCGGTAGTTAACAATCAAACGATAGATTCGCCAAAATCTCAATCATTTTATCTCCATTTTTGACATTTATTTCGAGTATTTTAAGAAATTGTTTTTAATTCATCAATCGTTGCCTTTAATATAACTTCTGATACAAAACAAACAAAATCTGACTAAATATCTGGTGATAGGAATCCTAACAATGAATTTATCCTACGATTACACTTATTGTACGCAAACTTTTCTATACAAAACCTATTTCTGTGATTATTAGATAATTTAATTATTATTTACACTTTTATTTCACCACTTATTTTGATGTCAAAAGAGCGCAGCTTTTGATTTGATTTGTATATAATTTATGTCTTTATTTTATTTTGTATTTAAATATTTTAATTACTGTATTATTTAATTTTTACACATTTTAAATGCAAACGGAAAACAAAGTTATATAAAAATGCTGTAAAAAGCCATTCAATGAAAACATGCAATACTTTTGTCTTATAGCTTATTGTGCTTCGAAAGAGACGGCCGTTTCGTTGCCCACATAATAGGGGCCGTCCTTATAGTAAGCCCTCAACTGAATCACAGCCTCTTTAGTGAACGACTCGGAAATGGTTGGCGAGCGGACCAACTCCTTCACTACTGCATACTTGGCTTCTTTGCCCTCTTTGGCGGTCTCTGTCGAGCGGTCCATAATGTACTCGAGAAAGCCGGGAGTGGCGGCCAACTCCTTCTGGCCCCACACATAGCCGGCCACCACTCGCAGGCACTCGAGCGCCGACACCCGCAGCTCCGGAAACGGTTCCTTCGATAGCCGTAATAACGTAGCGATTCGTTCGTCGGGCAGAAAGCGTTGGAACCACTTCTCGGCCAACTTAGCGCCGGTCGACTCGTGTCCGACGACGTCCGGCTCGTTCACTGTCAACAGATTCGTCACAGCATTCAATGCGCGCACCTTATGGTCAGTGTTGCCGCTCTTCACTTGATAGCTGACGGTCGACAAGAACTTCGCCGACAACTCCGGGTTCTTATCGACGGCCGCTTTGCCGGCGTTCTTGTGACAGATGGCGGCGATCGCGTCGATGGCACTCATTATAAGAGCGCTGTCCTCGTTGTCCAACAGTGCCTTCAATTTAGTCAAAACGATGGGAACGTTGTCTAAAACTTTAGGTTCATTTGCCGCGAGATTTCCAAAGATTTTGATATAACCGGGGATTAAGAGATTGCCGAAGAGATCGGATTCGCAGTTCTCGAGCCTCTGAGCGATTGTCTTGAGAATGTCGGACGATTGGAGGTATTCGGTGCCGAAAGACGTTGAGCCCAAGTCTGTCATTATCTGCAGAATATTCATTGTGAGCAACGGATCCGTTGCCGACGCGGTGTTGAAGTCATCCAACAATGCCTTCAAATGACCAAAACTTTCCACTCTATAGAAAGTCTTGTGGGAAGTGCTGGCGATCGACACCAACAGCTCATACACTCTCATTCGGATGATATCGTTGACGGTCTTGATCTCAATCAACAGGTTTTGGACGTCTTTCTCAAAGAACTTTTCGCCCAAAGCGTCGGTTTTGGCGATATTCAAGACAATTGAATGGCAGTGTTTGGCGGTCGATGTCTTCGGCTTAGCCAACAGTGCGATCACTTTGACGAGCACTGCGTGAATGTCCAACTCATCACTGATGGCGTGATTGAGTGCCAACTCGTGAGTCAAACAGCGGTCCAATGTCTTGAGCCACAGCTCGACAATGGCGTCGTCTTTGGCGTCAAAGCCGGCGACAATCTCTTTGGGGAAGCGAGTGATGACATACTGTGGCGATAGTGTGCCGAACACCACGTCGAAGATGTTGACAATGATGTCGATGTTGTCGTGACCGTCGATG